TAAATGTAAATCAATTTATATTTTTTTTTTACAAAGCGAAGATAAAATAGATTGAAACATCGAAATTTTTTTTGATAAATTTTACATTAGGCCGTAAATTTTAATAAAAATAACAAAACAGAATGAGTCTATAGATAAATTCATTTTTTAACTTGACTGCTGCTGAAATTCTGCCCTACTTTTTCCATTGATCAATTGTTCTCTTGGCAATTGAAAAACACTGTTCCAATTATTGTCATTATCTAATTGAAAGTGAGTAAAAAAAAAAAACAGTGATCACTTTTAATTATTTTAGATAATAAAAAAAAATATTGACATTTCTCTTGGAAGTAAAAATAGTTTCATGTTTCAGCGGAAAAATATTTATTTGACAATGACTCGTATACCAGTAGTCATTTATATCTATTTCAATTTTCCAATCAATTTGTTCAATTCATGCATTCGCATAAATGTATACCTTGTTTAAATATCATTTACATAAACAAAAGTTAAAATCAACAATTTCGCTGCAATCATGAATAATTATTCAATCACTATACTCTCTATATATTTAATGATTCTTGATTTCTAGAATAAACACACTCGCTTTCATTAAATGATTTTTGAGGTAAAATTATACTAAAATTTTGTAAATTTAAATATTTAGATTTTATTATGAAAAATTTTATCTGGTTAGATAAATTCAGAGAAAAATCACTAGTCAGAGCAATTTAAAAACGGTGTGAATTAAAACAATTTCAATTAATTAAAAGTACAAAACATAAAAATGTCAGTTTTCAATTTTTTTCATAATGCTCTACTAAATCAAAATAATTACAAAAAAAAAATCCTTTTCATCTTAATTATTCAAGAAAAAAACGATCACTTGTTGGTTTTAAATTTAAATTTAAATTATTATTATCATCAATTGATGCCTTGTCAACTTCTACGATGATATAAGTCGAATTATTCTTTTAGATTTTTAGTTTGCTTTATTATCTAGTGATTTTTACTCGATAAATCTAACAATTCATGTAAAAAAAATCTTAATCAAAGAAATTTCTCAAAAAAGATTAATTTTTGATCTTAGCACTCACTTTGACTCTTCTATAATAATAATATTCAATTTATTAATAATCTGATCCAATACATCAACACATGCATCCGTCTACATCCACACATTCAATAAATCCAACCACTTGAATTTTCCATCTAATTATACATTCGATTGAAGCTTAATAAACATTTATCGACGTACATTTGTACAAACTTGACTTGAATTAATATTTATCTGCAGAGTTTATTTAGTATAGTATTGAATCTGTAGTTCCCTCATCAAAAGCTAGCGCATAATTTTATCCCGATAAACCATAATAAATATTATACCCAGCAGCAAAATTTATTACTTCGTAACTATATAGTACATTTGTTTATTATTTATTCACATATGTACTCTTACGTAGATGTGGATGCAATCACTAATTATTTTTGTTTATAAAATTTATTCACCTTTCAGGAGACCCGGGGCAGAATGAAAATATATTTCTTTGACCGTAATATATATTGTGTTTAAGTTAAGCAAATACAAGTATCAATTAATTTTTAATAAAAGAAGAAAAGTTTTTAATTTGCAACTCTTTTAACAAAAAATAACTCTATGCTATTTAATTATTTTTTTTTTATTAATTTTTTTTTTATTCTAATAACGTTAGAAAAATTATAAAAATTTATAGGATAGAAAGATTTGTTGCTATCATAATTACGAGTTAACTTATAATTGATAATAAATGTGTTGAAGAAATTTAGAAAATGGATTGGTTGAGTTGTTATCCAGAGGCACGGTAGTGCATCGAACCAAATGCGTTGCTTTTACTGTCAAATTATGTATAGATACTTGTTTATTAGGCCATTATTTTCGGTAACAACGCAATGAATTGATGCCGAAAAAGCATCTTCTAATGAAAAAAATATCTTGTTAAGGTTGATCGGACCTGATGGAAATTTTAAGATAAAGAGCTGAATTTTTAATCGATATTAAATACGTATGAAATAATTTTTTGAAAAATATCTGACGAAGAGTTCTTGCGTACATAATTATTATAAATTAGGCTTTTAACATATAGTCTATAGTAAATATTAGACGGATATATTTATTTTGAATAATCTCGCGGAACTTACTAAAGATAAGAAAACGAAAAACTTTTATTTACATAAATCGCTTTTTGTAGATTATGTTTAAATTTTTTTACAATATTCTGACGAAGGATTTTGTTAATGCTTTAATAGAAAAAATTTTTATTCGAAAAATAACCAAAGATTGAGCTATATATATATATATATTCCGTAAACAGGCAACATTATATAACGAATAGAAAGGAAAATAATAGTACAAACTATATATATCGTGTCCAAGGAACCTTAAAAAGAAATTTTTGGCAATTATGTAAAGCTTATCTAGATTTAAATATTTTTTTGATTTTTAATATTAAGATCGCGCACATGACAATCACCAATTATTTATTTACAGTTCCACTGTATTCCACCCCGGGTTTTGTCCATTTCCGTGGGTATTTGAGTTAATTAACTGATAAAGAAACGATTCAGATCTGTTAGGAAGTTTATATTAACTTTGGATACAGTTATTTCATTAAAATAACCCGCCTGAGGCGATCTTCGATAACTCAGTAAAAATATAACAGCATACTTATTATCGTTATAACTTTGCCATAACTTTGTTTCAATCATCAATCCGATAGCTGCATTATTTTCTCAAGTTATATTATATATTATCCTACTATACCGCATTATAGTTCAATTTATTTTTATTTTTTTAAGCTTGTGAAATAACTTTCATAATTTATTATTAACTTTACATTTTGGCACAAAACACATTTATATTACCAATACATTCCATTTATAAACTTTTCAATTTATTAAAGTTTACTTTTTAAAATCAATATTTATTACTATTCTATATCTTTATTATCAAACCGTCATGTCATATCTCTGACGTGGATATAATTAATATCTATTATTACGTAAAATGGAATAAAAATCAACTGGAAACATACCATGACATATTTACACAATTAATGCGTTAAAAAGTCTACACAGACAACAATATTTATATTCACTAAGTTTCTAATATTCACTGATATTTCCAAAAGCTGCTTCCGTTACAATAATCGATTATTTTTATTTACTTATTTTATAATCAAGCATCGAAATATATGGACATTACTTCTGTTTTATTTACACTTTATTCGAATTTATATATTTTCTATTTATTTGTTTTATATTTAATACAGATATATTTATTTAGAGTGGCACGTTTAACGTGTATCGATTTAAACTGTAGGGAAATCCGAGGTAAATATGTCACATCGGTTTAAAAATAAAAATGATATTCTCTCGTTTACTATTTATTCATATTATTTAGACTATGAATACCCGAATCAATCTTTTTAATATGATTTTTCGAAATTATGATTAAAAAATTTAAAGATTTAAATAATGATAGTTTACTGAAAAAAACTGTTTGAATCAAGAAAAATATTTTCTTCAAAATTTCACTCTTGTTTCAATATATTCAGTTCGAATCAATCTAAGAAATTCACTTTCGAATCGAGAACATAAAACTCTATCTCTCGGATTAAGATACACGGATAGAAAAGTTAGCTTGATTGAAGAGAAAAAATTTTATCATAGAAAAAAAAAATAAATTTCTTGAGCTATGATAAAATTCTTGGTTTAAAATAAAATTTCTTGGCTCAAAAATTTTTTTCTTTGTTCCAAGAAATTTGGTGTTTTCTTTGAAGTAGTCGTAATTAAAGAAATTTTGCCTTGAGTTAAACGAACTTTTCCACCAGTAACATTGATTCACAATAATACTAACTTGTTTCAATAATACCAGAATTGCTTGAATTGCTGTTACTTTTTATATCTTCCAAAATAAGTCTCAAATACGGTTTAGGATGGGTTCAAATAAAATATTTGTTTGTTTTTTTTACATTTTTTAGGTGTGTTCAGTGAAAGAAATTTTTTTAAAACCAAGAATATAAAATTCTCAATGGCAAAAAAAATGATTCTTAGTTGAAGAGTATTGTTTTCTTCGATGAAGAGTTTGATACACTGAAAGAAATTTTCTTAAAAAATTACCGTTGAATTCACGATAAATGTGGAACAGATGGCTCGACCTAATAATTTGTCGGTAAGTGAGATAAATTTTAACTTTTTTTTAAAAAATTTTGCCGTAGTCAACCGTAAATTTTAATAGGTTTTCGATCAATTTTATGAAGTCTGCCATAAAATAAATGAATTTTTTCGTAATTTTTATTTAAAAAATGGTAATAAAAAGAAGAGCCGCATCCTTTCCCTCGATTACCGTGAATTTAACGGTAATTTTTAAAGAAAATTTCTTTCCGTGCAGTAACTCACAAAGATAGTATACTCTTGTTTGAATTTCTTAAAAAATTTTCTATTCCAAAAACAATATTTTATTTTATCTCGGATCTCCTTTTGAATATTGAGTAGTAAGAAATTTCAATGCTCTTTATTTATCCTTATCAGTGTTAATAATTATTTACAGTTAAAAAAGCCGGAGAAAAAATTATTATGTTCATAAGCTTTTAACAAAGAATTCTACAAACAAAAATTTATTCGTCAAATCACAATACTCTTTTTAAATACACATTAATATTGTATTTCGTTATTTGGCACTGCTGTTTATTAATTAACGTTTATATTCGAATATGAAATCGTATAGTTGATTTAATTTGCCAATACTGCTTTTGAACAATGAAGCGAATAATGTTTTAGTTCGGTTGAATTTACACCCATCCACTGCAACAATTATACGTTTAACACTTGTATAAAATACGTGAGCTTATTACACTATATATTTATTCAATAATTATTATATTATAAATTATAATATTTATATTTATATATTTATAAATAGACTTTAAATTTAAGTAATAAATAGTGTTTTTTTTTTTTTTTTTTTTTTTGATTTTAATAGCTTACGTAATGACGTTGTGAATTATATTGAGTGTATAGTGAATTATTAAAATAATGGATAATTTAGGAAAACTCTTGATAATAGTTGTGGCTGCGGAAGTGCCCTCCGTGTCAAGGGGCGTTTGTCCTGTTGAACCACTTTCCCTGAGGGATCCTTGATAAATACGATTCAGTCTGTGTCCATGGTGCTCGCGTGACTCGCTCGAACCGTCTTCATTCGGCACCTCGTTGTTTTTCCTCGAGTGCTCGGTTAAATCCATATCTTTTTAACAAATTTAATTAAACTAATTAAATTTGAGAGCTATTTATTCAAATTCAATTACTGAGATAGTTAATTACACACTGAAAAGTTCAGTTTTAATTTGTCTCATTGATTTTTAGTAAGCTCCCACAGTCATAGAGATTATTTTTATTATCATGTAAAATATTATTTAATATTCAAACTAAACTTTTAAGTAAAAATTATGACTTAATATTTTACAATTTTTTTATTCTTCTAAAAAAATGAAAAATTAATTTAAAGAAAACGGTCTTATAAATTTCATGTTTAAGAATTTATAATATTTATTTTGTAATTGATTGTTTTAAAAAAAACTAAGAATTTTAAAACAACTGTCAACATTTATAATTAAAAACTTTTCATTACTGGGCCAAAGTAACAAAGAAAAAAATAATTAAGACACGTCAATCAAATTGAAATCAAAACGTTTACTGTTATTTGTTATTTGTGACGAAATAAAATGTACTTATAACTATATTATAAAAAAGAATCAAACTTCAAAAATTTTATACAAATGCATCAGAAATATAGTATATAGAGTAAAATTATATACACTCAAATAAATTTATTTTCTTTTCAGTGGAGAAAAAGCATTTGCTTTGGAAGAACAACCGTAAAATAGTCGACTATTTCAGATAAATTGAAAAGATAAATAGTCTAAAATTTGTGGAAATATTAAAAATGAAGATGCCTGAATGAAATGAACTGTTAAGTTGTATGCACAACTATCTAAATATAATCTGATTACGTTTAGCAAGTTCGAATGAACTGCATGCATGATTAAGCATTTCAATGGCTATTAAACCTTTTGAATAAATAATTTTTTTTTTGGGATGATTTTGCCTGGTATTAATTCGTAATAGTATTCAGGTCATTGATTCCAAATATTCTAAACTGAACTATCTTAATATCTTTCTCTTGAATATCTAATAATTTAGGTTGAGAAAACGGAAAACTTAGGTCACCCAGAAACGGAATAAATTGAAAGCTCTCTACTGTGGATTTCAGCTGATATTATTCTAATATTACTTGTACCGAATCGGTTGTACTTTATTTATCATGTTATGAATTCGACATGACAATCGATTTACATAGAATAGCTTGTTATTATGCGGATTAAAGGATCATATGCAGTTGTTTATTATTAGAAATCGCTTGTTATACCTTAGATACTGCATTAAATTTGCCATCGTTGTTTTGCGATACTAAATACAAATTATTATGATAATGATAAATTACAGAGATTAAAATGAAATATTAAAAAAGTTAGTTTCCTATTTAGTTAGTAATATTCATTAATATCAGAATCAAACTCATTGATTAATGAACGGAAAACAATATATAACAAACAGAAAAACTTAGTCTAGCTTTTATTGGATTCTCATAATAAAATTAGTGACATAAACTTTAGTAATAAATCAAAGAAAATGAATATCGAATTTCCAACACACAGAGAGACATAAAAAGTTGGCTTTACTTTTATTTAATTCAATAACATTTTATTATTTTAGTTCTTTATTACGGCAAAGTGTGAGTTTCATTTATTACATTCAATTTATCTTTTAATCCCGGAAAATTGGGATATCTCGGGGTGCAGGGTATCGAGGGAGAACGAGGACACCCGACAACGAGTAAAAGAGACAAATAAATAGATTCGACAGAGAGGAAAAAGTTGAATATCGCAGTTTAGCAGTGATAACACTTGGTGGACTTTTATCGATCATGTCTGGCAACACATGGCTTACACAATTTCAGTTTCTGTTTCAGCTTTCATCTGCCCAACTGATAAACGATAACTAATACGTTCAGGGATATTGTTTCTATTGGCAACTTTTGTCCTAACACCTCCTGCACGTGATCAGGTTTTTTTAACATTATCGTCCTACTTTTTTATCTCCTTCCGTTATACATTTCCGATCGTTTTTTAATTAGGATTTCTATCTGCTCAACTCTTCTCAAGCATTAGGCACTTTATTTTTCATTACTTTTGTTGTATCAAGATCTTTTTTTATTAATTTTATTTTTTATTTTATTTTAGTCTATTTTATTTAATCTTCCTAGTGTTTCATGACGAGCTTAGCACCTTCGACTTCACGGTTCAATAGTTAATCTAGATGGCTTATCTGATCGCGTGACTTTACGAGATGCAAACGCATTCTAAGATAAACTAGATATGCACGAGACAGCGAGCTTTCTCTCGTGTTTACTCCGGAAAATTGCTATGCTAATCTATTCCATTCCATTGTAAATTAAAAATATGGTATAGTTTTTGCATAGAAAACAATTATATGTGAAAATGACAAAAATGGTTATGTAAAAATTACTATGTCATTTTATGTTACATTTAAAAAAAATAACTGTCAAATTTACAGGTTTGGATAAATCAAAATTATGTTATATTTGCAAAGAAAAATTCTTAAATTTATAGGTATGAATTTGTAAAAATCACATATCTATAGAAAACAAACTCTTATAATTGTATATAAACGTTTATATAAAATTATAAAAGAGTTTTGGTTATATATAATTTTATATATTTTTTTACAATGCATTTTTTCAATATAACGCCAATTAAATTTCAAAAATGTAAATTTTACACGGAAAAAAGTAAACTGTAATAAATAACAGTCGATTTATAATAAGTAATGATCAACTGCTAAAAATTACCATTTCAAACAGTAAAATTATGATTTTACTATTCACATTGTAATATTTACAATTTAAACGTTACAATTTACTCTTTACATGGAAGAAAATACTATTTCAAACAGTAATATTCGCTATATAAATGTCTAAAATGTTAAAGTATAATAATTAAGAATTCAGACTTTAATATTTATCATTTCGTACCTAAAAAATGATGTTATGATATGTAAAAAGTATAAAATAATGTTAGTAAATTTTTAATACAAGCAACGTCAATATTTACAAAGTAAAATGGTAAATTTTAAACGCAACGCTAGAAATTAAACTGTAATTATTGACTTGCTTAGACTGGTAAAATGTATATTTTAAAAGTATAATTTTTACTGTTTGAAATGTTAAATTCCCCAGAGTGAGACCCCCTTCTCTTTCATCTGAGTTCCCCTTCTTTTCATAATATGGACTATATATTGAAATGGCAATTTTTACTGTTTGAAACTGTAATTTTTAAAGATGAAAGAGTCGTTATTTACTATAGTGACAACTACTGATCACTTATTTTGGATATTAAATTATAACTTGTGGCTTTTATACTTTCTACATTAAGTTCTGTAATATTTACATTTTTGCCACCCCGATGTCCGCTTTACTGTTTAAAACTATCAAAACTAACCGGAATCCGAGTGAATATTACAGTTTATTTTTTTCCGTGTACAGTTGAGTCTTGACAAGAGCAAAAATTTATAAAATTTTTCTGTAATTTTGACAGAATTTTTTTGTGTGTGTTTTCGAAACCTTATTTTTATATCGCAAATTAAATATGTTCGTCTGTATCAATAAGAAAAAAAGCGATAATATCTTGACAAAAGAAGTCAAGTATTTTAAAAAAATGTAACCAGATCTCATTTCTTATTTTATCTTTTTTGAATTAGATTTAAAGCTGAAAAGATAACTCACCATAAAGTCGTATATTACTTTCAGCTTCACCAATAGAATTTTTTGAAATACACTTATAACCACCTAGATCAGTTTTCTGTAAATTACGTATAATTAATCGCATTTGTACACTATAGTCAGACATCCTTTCCTCGGACATTGTATACTTGTGATTGGTTATTATCATTTCACCGGTTTCACGAGTCCAATAGTTAATGGCCTTTGGAGAAGCTTCCACTTGACAAATCAGCGTGACATTTGTCCCTGCTGGTGCGCCAACTAATTGGTTCGGAACTTGAATCATTGGATGAACTGAAATTTAAAAATAAATTCGTCCAATTATGCTTGGCTGCGGACTTTGATCAAAGAGAGGTTTTGTTAAATGAACATAAGCTACTTTTATTCTGAGACACAAATATGTAAGCTACTTATCCCTTCAAAATTCAATTTAAAGTTTCTAGTAAGCACAGTTCTGACGGAAGAAATATATAACTGCTTTTCATTTTGAATCAGCAGAAAATAAGATTTAAAGTTCTGCTCAATGGTATTTCTCCTCAAACCACAAGTTCAGTTAGCTTGATGGGTTATTTAATAAATAATTTCAGTCCATTATTTTATCACGAATTTTTGATGTATTAGTTTATTGCCGTTTCAAAAATTTGTAAAATATTCAAGACTACATTTACAAAAAGCATTAAAGTTTTACTTAAATAAATTATTATTATTATAAATATTAATATCAATTTCTACTATCAGTAATTTAATACAGTATTAAAGTGCCTAAAATTCAATTTTCATCATCTGAGTTTGCCTAAAAATAATCACATTTAAAACTCATTACAAAATTAAACCTTCGAATAAATTTCCAGTCCTCTCTATCCAGTAACGTCTCAAATTCAAATTTATCTAAAAATAAATCTGTACTCCGCAACTAATTAAAACTTTCCCATAGTTTTAGTTGTTTAGAATCTAAACAAGCGTTCTACTCTAAATCAATCGTTTACGCGGATCCTCGATATAACCGTCCTCTACGCAAAACATCCATGAAATGCAAACGATTCGCGGCTTCACATTGCGATTGTGGGCATTAAACCAAGCTCTCATTGTGAAGAGAATTTAACGACCAATTAATTGAGTGTATTCAGTTACTGGCTTTTATTTCCGTATTTTAAATTAACAATAAAATGATTTCAAACTATTCATCTATATTCAGCAGCAGTGTACAATTTTTTTTTCTAGGATGGCCTGCAGGGTTAAAAATTTTTCAGATTTTTTCAGTATGATGAAAGTAAGGATAATAATAATTATTATGTTTGTTTAAAAACGCTCTTTAATAGCGTGAATGTGACTAAAGTTTGGCCACTAGCTGATATTAGATAATTTGATCGGATTGTGGCATTAGATAAGTTTAAGAAGGACAAACATTGACGTCGTGTAATTTGAGTGTGTGTAAAGGTTGGTATATTGCCTGGTTGTCGCTACACAGTTTGCGGTTTCATTGCTGGAAGCAATACAAGTAGGTTTTGGTTAAGTTACATGTTGTTTCACTTTCTATTTTGCAGTGCTTTGCTGTAGTGCTGGCTAAACAACTACATAGGCATAGAAGTAGTACATAGCGTATGGGGTCTAGGGAAAAGTCTGCAGTGTGCAGACGTAGAGTGGAAACGAAGGATGTGGCAAACAGAAACGCTCAGGAGAATATCGTTTTGAGATACAAGGATACTTAGATATATTTTGTTAAGGTAATAAGATAACGAGGAAGGCGGCGCCACTCTCCATTATTATCTATTCAGAAATTTCACAGCTCGTTTAAATTTATTTGTTCATGATGCTAAGTTTATTGATGCTAATTTTTATCAGGAGAAGCTGACACCCAAGTACGGTCATTATTTAGCCCTTTTACCGTAGAAGTCTAAAGAAGTTTGTAATTAAAATCCATGAATTAATTTATACGATTAAGGAAGCCCTTTCGCTTTAGTTGAGTCAAAAAGAGTATAGTATCCAAAAGCTGATGAATTAAATTGATGAAAAATAATATAATTAAAAAATGAATATTATACAAGACATTGATGATTGAAATCTAAAAAGTTATACAAAAAAAAATTAAGTGGAACAGTTTATAGTGTAAATGACCCTGTGTACAAATTTTGGTGTGAAAATTACACTAAATATCGTGTTAATTTTAGGTGGTGTGAATTTCATATTTTTACATCGTCAATCGTGTAAATGTGTAATTCACGATAATTTTGCGTTTTAAAATTAAATATCGATTTTAATGTTATTGTAAATTTGTCGACGTTAATAATCTTGAAGGACCTTAGTGATTAGTTAGTTAGTTAGTGGTAAAGCTTTATTTATAAATTGTAAAAATGTAATTTAAGAAAAATTAAAATTTTTAAGAATATCAAATTAAAAAAAAGAAAGTCTAGAAAACAGTTGACTCTGCAAGCCATCTCTAGAACTTCCCGCTATATACGAGTTCAAAACGCTCGTGAAATTATCTATTCCGAAGTTTTGAGCTCTTTCAGCTCGAAAATAAAGTGATTGTTGAAAACACACCTTTTTGAAAATTTTCAATTACGATGTCTATTAAAATAATCAATCGTTCTCCATATGAGGGTTACAAGCATTAGACTCAGTTTTCGAACGAAAAAGATTCTATTACATATGAAACGATTCGACGGAAAATCATCAAGCTATGATAAAAAAACATTTTTTTCAGACTTAGAAAAATTAAATATCTGACGAATGAATTGACTGATTTTGACGAGATTGGCGACGTTCGATGCAGTTTTTTGAGCACTGATTGTTATTTTGTTATATCAATAACGACCGAGCAAAAATTTTGAAGTTATTCGAAAGAAACACTTTTCTCAAAATTTTTCGTCAACGATATCTTACGAACGAATGAATCGGTTATGATTTTTCAAACGACATTCGACGTCATTGCTTTAGGCTAAGAGCTGATTAGGTTGTTAATATATAAATTGATCGATCGAGCAGCTCGAAAGTTATTTTGAAAAAAAAACTCTCCGTGGTCAAAAACATAGTTTGTCAGTTATTTTGAAGTCTCCAAGCTCAAAGATAGAGTCGTTATGCGCTCTAGAGCACTCCAAGCTCAAAAGTCTAGATTTTATTCGGTAAAACACTTATTTCTTTAATATTTGAGCTGCAATATCTCTTGAACAAATGAACGGATTTTGATGCGTTGTATTGGGTACTTTTATACTACTTTTACCCCCGGCTCAATAATAAGCTCGCCGGAGTCTTCACGACTCCGGGTTCTCATGAGGGCAAATTTTATAAACAAAGTCAACTTTATAGGATTTAATGTTAATAATAGAACCTCTTTATTCGAATGAACATTAATAATTCTTTCATATTTACAAGTCGGCGACTAAACAAACAAAATCACTCATACACGGCGTATACAAATTTTTACCGTCGTCGGTAATATCATTCTCTCGTCGATTTAGCAATTCGCGTGGCTAATTTTTACCGATCTCTAATTCTCAGTCCCTGACGGGTAGCTAGTGCCGTCCCTCAGGCCCTATTCTGCGATACCCAAGGGAAGAGTGAATAATATTCACCTCGCCCCCACCTACTCGGCTGTGGTCACTTTTGGCTGGAGGCCTCCAGGTGGGGAGTCGCCTTTTCCCCGTAGGTGAAAATGTTCACTAATCTGCATCGTAGTACGAACCAGGTAGAGTAAACCCTTTTAAATTTCTTGGCTAAAAGTCTCCAGTCGAGAAATTCACCCAGAGAAAGGTTGGCTACCGGGGTTTTTCCGACGGAACAGCGGTGATCTGAGCCCGCGTTGACACGAGAAGTTTTTCCTTCATGGCCCTCTATCGGGGCTCGCGCAAGCGCGCCGATCGACGGTTTTTTTTCTAAGTTTTTAATTATTGAAAAATATTTTCGTCGTTTCGCTCGAGATTATTCTAAGTCTCAATCGCTATTTTTTATTTTCTTTCCATCCGGTCTGTCAAATTCTACACTGATAGAAGGATTTGTTTAGAGTTAAAAATATTTGTTAATATTTAACAAATCATTTATTGGAAGCTATTTTTAATTCTTAACAAATATTTCTTAGTATTTAAAAAGATTTATTAATATTTAATAAATGAATATCAGATTTATTAAATACAAATTAATCATTTTAAATACTAAGAAATATGTGTTTAATACTAAAAAGTGGTCTCTAATAAATGATTTGTTAACTATTAACAAGTATTATTTAATACAAATAAATCCTTCTATTGGTGTAAGTATTTTTATTTATTTCAAAATTATTTTTCTTTTCCTCATTAAACTCGCTCGTAACTTATTTAATTTTCACATTTATTTTAAATTCTTTCAAAATACTTTTCTTTCTTAACTAAGTTGCTCCAGACAGAATAATTTTTACACTCTTCATACTAATAATAACTTATAATAATTTGAATTCTGAAAATAATAAAATAATAGTAACCAAAATAATACAATAATGAATATTTATAATAAACGACGTAAAAACAATGATAATCGTCGTAAACAATAATAATTGTCGCAAAAAAATCCTAATAATTTTCAAATAATTAATTAATAATAATAATAATAATAATAATAATAATAATAACACTCTAAATAATTAAATCGCTGTAACATGGGCAATTGGATGCAGTCGCAGCAGCGGGGGCTTGCGTCCGTCGCTCAATCGGACCGTCAGTGAGTCCCACGTTCTGGCTGCTCACGACACAAATTTGAAGTAATTGAATAAAAAACATTTTTTGAAAATTGAAAAAACTCGAATTTTTGAAGTTTTACAGAAAATCTAAATTCAGCGAGGCCTTTTCAGATTTAGCAAATCGCTTTTTGATCGGATACTCCATTTCAAAGTTATACGATGTTTACATGCATGTCTGAACACACACACACACACACGCGCGCGCGCGCGTAGTGACATCCTCGTAGAAATAGTCAGAACTGTTTCCTAGGACCTCAAAACCTGGAGATTCAATGAAAACTCGATTTTCGAAAACCGGGGTGAAATCAATAACTTCTCGAACTTTTGAAAATCATTGATTTTCATAGTGAATTGTTAAAAATAAGTTTGATTTAAAAAAAAATTTAGTTGGTTTATTATGAGTTATTAGTTCTAATCAAAAATGTCTCATTTAAGTGCAAGTACTTCCTTAAAAACATCAATTTTACGTTAAAATAAGTAAATGTATTCATTTCAATTAGCACCTTAACTTCAAAAATCCGTATTACTTTGTTTGAACTAAAAGCTACAGAACTATAAGCTAATTGAAAGGATGCTACTGTCGAAATGTAACACAATCAGATGGTCTTACAACTTTTTTTTTAGAGGCGTGTTTAAAAAGCGTTTTTAGTTTGTGACTTTGGAGTTTAAATAAAAGTATCTGTAGTCTCGCGGATATACCAGTACTTTGAGTAATAAAAAAGTAAGTTAAGTATGTTGGATAGAGAAGAGGAACGAATTGAAAGGTTTTTTTCAATTTTAAAGTTTATCATAATTTTTTTATACAAATTTCATGGCTTCTGTTTTTAAATAATTTAATTTATATATTGATTCTTTTATTAGCTGTGAGGCATTATTGGCGCAATTGGGCATGGTGCCAAATATTTAAGGTAATTGACCTGGATTAAAACTCGATTCAATATTTTGTTCCTTTAATTATCAAATTACTCTATTTGTTCATTTTTGTTTGAATGTTTTCGAAATATTTAAACTAAAAAAGTTATTTACTTGTGTTAAAGTAGTTTAATTTTTTTATTCACGAGATAGTTCATAAAGTTTTAACAAAGCTTTTGTGAAATTATTTTCTGCATCGTCTACGCTTGTGATAAATTGGAAGTTGACAATTTGTATCAAATAGTTACTAACTTTTTGCATGACTGTCTCATAATAATCCCTGAAAATATATTCAGAATTAACAAAAACTTCTGAAAATACATTCAGAATGAATTATGATCGGCCACAAAACAATTTAATTTTTGACAAGATAATGATAATTATAATAATAATCCGAAAATCTTTTAGAGCTGAAAATAACTGATAATAATAAAATTTTTTCTTTCAGCTATCCTATCGCGACTAGAAGTTTGATTTAACTGAAATTAACCGCTTCCTTGATAAATTAACCAAAAAAGGTAAAAGAAAATTAATACCAGCTGTGTCAGCAGATCAAGGCTATAAGTCTAGCATGATCACGCGGTTATTCAATGAGGGTGAATTATCAGGATGGGTGAAGGCAAGTCGGACGTCTACGTCGGGTTGGCGTGAGAGTACATCCAATTTCCTTGGAAGAATTACCTCAGGCAATATTACTAGCCAAAGAGAGACGAGACGTGAGCTTCAGCTTGGGTAAGTAACCTGCTACATTTACACCAGACCGCATTTTATAAAGTCACATTCTATATACATACATCTACGTACATACAGTGGTAAGACTCTCATTTATACATAATACATGGTTTTTAAAACGTAATTTTATTATCTTTCTTCCGCAATGTAGTTTGCAGTTGTTTTGTTTTTTTGTTTTCTCATTTCAATGCCGGTTTTTTACCGGGTTTCTTTCTCGGCAAAAGAGAAGGCACTCGAAGCTAGGGTCTGCCAGCCCTTATAAACCAACTAACTACTCTATACAGTATAGTATAGTAGTGTGCGAACTTTCTGGTACAGCTATTCGCACTCTTATATAAGCTGTATTTTATACTTTCCTTTATTTTTAAAACTTTTTATTTGAAACCTCAGCTGGCTTTGGCTGACTGGTTGCCCAGAGTTACTAATGTAATGCAAGAGCAGCTATTTGAGTAGCGACCTTATATTTAAATTATGCTAAGAGCAACTCTAAGTATCTCGATGGTGTTTGCCTCTAGTTAACAAGCTAAGCTAAAGGATTGTTACTGATGCCGATGATGTTTTAACCTGGCTAGAACTGTCAGTTGTTATAGTTATTGTTATTGTAGTTGGTGTTGTTGCTGCTGTTCTATTTGCTTGCTATGTAAATATTAGAGCTTGGTGAGAAGTGTTAAATATAAGTAAGATTTTAATATTTACTTACAGTTGACATGCAACATCATCTGTTTACTGACCGATGGAGGCACTCCGTTACTTGCTATACACATATAAGTTCCCATTTCGCTTCTTGTTATTTTTGTTAAGATCAGTATCTCGCCTTGGACTGAAGTTTCTGTAATTAAAGTAGTTTTTAGTCAGTAACATGTACAGAGAGAACTAAATTATATCATCTACGATATGAAATTTTTTGTGTAATCATCTTAAATAGTAATGAAATTTTCCAGTGTTGAAATAGTTAGTTTTATAATTTTGTAGTTGGAATTATTAATCATTGTTAATTTTTAATTTAACAAGTGAATTCTGATTATTAATATTAACATTAAATATTAACGTTTAGGATATTGATATTTTTTTATAAATATTAAAAAAAATCAAATTTATCAACTCTCAATAGTATCAAGAATTATAAATTTCGTTATACGGTTGATAGATAGTTTAATGTAAATCGTTTATTCAATAACTTGAATAGTGTTCATTTCTATAGAGCAATTAAAAAACTCTATAATAACTAGATGATAACTTTTGTTATTTCAGTCTCTCCGTATGCCTTATCAATTATATCTTCTTGATTCTCATCGAATTCAAGTTTGGATAAAATCTAATTTTGATCGAAATTCATATTTATTATAATTCATAATGAACTTAATTAAAAGTATTAAAAGAGACTATCAGACTATCTAATAGGTCTCAAAATTAATAGAGACTGAAAGAACTTTTGATAGGTGAAATTTGAAAACAATTTTTTTTTAATTCACTAGAGAACATATTTGTTAGATTTGAAAATATTCACAGCATTGAAAGTTTGTTAAGTTTTTATTAGTTCGATTTACGAGTCATTGAGTCTCATTTACTCCTACAAATAACCAGCTCTCAATCTACCGCTTCGTTGCGCTTAAGTTGAAATTTGATAAGGTTTTTGAGTGATAAAACAGTTCCTTAACTTTACATCAGCATTTATCCGCAATTACGTTCTTGAAGACTTTTAAAATTTATATATATATATAAAAGAGGATGTTTGTATATATGACATCGATAAACTCAGAAACTATTTGACCGATCATTATAAAAATTGGTAGGTATATGTATTTTTCCACGGAGAAGATTTATATGTTATGCCCATTGATGTAACTCGCCACTAGGTGGCGTTATAAAGTATTGACTTCCGCCCCATTCAACCGATTGTCATAAAAATTGGTATGACCATGTATTTTTCTACGGAGAAAATAAATATGCTATGCTCATTGATGTCACTCACCACTAGGTGGCGCTGTAAAGGACCGATTTTCGTATCGTTCAACCGATTGTCATGAAAATTAGTAACATCAGATAGAATATAAGTTAAATTAATTACAAGTTCGTAATCAGAATTAACAATTCAAAAAAAATTATCTCTTCTTTGTTTTTATTAATAAAATTTTCAGATTATTCACATTTACAATGCTCGAGCCTTGCTTCGTACTTTTACTGCTGATATTGAGATAAGTCCGATATGGTTATAGATAAATTACAAAGTAGATGTTGTATTAATCGACATGTACATCAGTGTAGGTAAGAATTTTCTCCCGCAAGAGAAAAGAGTGGAAGAGAATGAAGATGAAGCTGAAGACTAAAGTGAGCTTTAGTCCAGCGAAGCGGACTAGGTTCACTAGTCATTTCTAATTTTTTACTTGCAAAGATAAATGACATCATTATTATTGAAATATCTTGTAAGTTGATCATGAAAAATAAAAATAATTTTTATTTTTATGTATTGACATCACTATAATCGTAACCAAGATTCTATTCAACTTAAAAACATCAAATTAGTGAATCAATAATAATTCAATTAAATAATAGAATAATTAAAAAATTATTCAATTTATTTAAGGGGTTAGGGGTAGTCAGAGACATGAAAAAATGAGAATTTTCAATCATTTTTTTTGCCAGTAAATCATTTTACTTTATAAAAGTAATATTATGGCATCATTACACAATGTTTTGATTTGACTGAACGAAAATTTGAAGATTTGAAAAATAAAAATTAATAATTTCAAAAGTTATGGCTGTTTGTGTTGATCACGTTCTAATAAAAGGTCTTTGCGGTGCCCATCATAAATCCTTGGAGATTCATCTAAAATCAATCGGACAGAAAAAAATAATTATATTAATAGATAATCTAGTCCCTGATCGAAGCTTTTTTTTTTGAAAATTAATAAAATGGCGGCCTCAGGAAAATTCTCTCTAGATTTTCGGGAAAAAACCAACAGTTAATTGTTTATAAAAAATCGAAATTTTTGAAAAAAAAAAATCCTTTGATCAGGCAATAATTTTTTGTTTTTCAAAAGCTATATAAATTTAATTTAAATTTACTGAGCGGTTTTCAAGTTACAGTGGTCACCACTTCAAAAAACATAGTATTGAGAAAAGCGCATTTAAAGTTTTACACTCTCGAGAGCTACCTGCTATCGAGCATTCTGGAGTGCCCAAGCGCCCATTGTTATTTGTCGAATAACTCGAAAAGTATTTGTCGGATTCACTTAAAATTTTTAAGAAATATTTTTAAGATATTAAAGAAAATGCGAAAAAAAAAATCGATTTTTTGAAAATTCTGATTACCCCTAACCCCTTAAGTTATATGTCGAAAAAAAATCTCTTTATTCATTAATATTAATTAAGTTTCATTGGGAAGTAGTTGAATTCAATGAAAATCAATAGAAACTATTTATTTCAACACTGAACAGTGAAACGAATTTGTAAAATTAAACTTATTGATTTGTACTAATAACTAATAATGAACCAACTAAATTTTGTTTTTAAATCAATGATTTTCTCAAGGTTTTGAGGTCCTAGGAAGAAGTTCTGACTATTCTTACGGGGATGTCACTATGTGTGTGTGTGTGTGTGTGTGTGTGTGTGTGTGTGTGTGTGTGTGAGTTTTCAAAAAATGTTTTTTCAGAATAACTTTTAAACAGATGTAAATATCAATTCCAAAATCTCAATGGATCTTGAACATAAATAACGACGTCGATTGCTGCAAACCGCATCAAAATCGGTTGATGCGTTGAAGAGAAATCGATCATGACAAATTACGAAAAAATTGATTTTCTCATATAACTTCGAAATTTATTTTTTTTCAATTTACATTTCAAAATAAACATCGAATAATAAGAGAATAAAAGATATAATATCACAAATTTAGAAGAAAACCACTACGATATGGGCTACTTGCATTGTAACTTCAAGTTCAAATACTTAGTTAATTGAGCGGAACAATCTAAACCCAGTGACGGATAAATTAATCTGTTATCTTAGTTAATCAGTGCTATTCGGATCTCCAATAGACAAACAAATGCACTTCTGACAGAACTGAAATCTAGTCAGAAACTAATGCACCAAACAGGAACAAGACAGTTTAGTTCCTAAGAAAGAAACTGATCAGTCAATCCGGTTAGCTCGCAATAATCTATCTTGATTCTCTTAGTTTATGGATTACTCTTGTAATCATACTCAAAATTCAATTATTTTGAAAAGCTAGTTTTAAAATAGTTATATTTAAACACACGTAGCTCGATTCTGGTAACTTTGTAGGTATACAAGTTTTCCTAGCTTATTTCACTATTTATCGCGGTTGGTTGAATCGTTGCATTCTAAGGGAGTATGAACTTGTTAACATAAAATTACTTTATGACGATTTTAATAGTTTAAGTTGATAATTTATACTAACGTTAATTTTCTGTTTTATTTTAAATTAAATTAGTCTTGGTGAGTTTTTTCTGAAATAAATTTTCTTTAAGCTTAAAAACAATAAAGGCCTTGATAAATAATTTATTATTTATTCAACTGACTGATATATAAAAAATTTCTCTGATTTTATTGTTAAGCTAATAACTTTTAATGGATTCAATTCAGAAAATTGTTCAAACTTTCCAAGTGTCAGATAATTAAAGTTAAAACCTATTGCACATAATTACATACTACTAATATTTAATGAAAGAAATGAGCTGTTTGAATAATCATTGAATTATTGAAAATATTTTTTTTTTTTTTTTTTTGATTTTGTTTAAAATCGCATAAACTACTAAGGTCATGAGCGACTACGGTAGGGGGTAAACTGAGCAGAATAATACACTTAAATATTGAAAATATTCATTGGTGTACGCCGGATTCGAACCCGGTCCAATGCTTTGATAGCAAGGGCCGGATCCGATAGGCTACTGCGCGCCTACATTTAAAATATTATTTCTGAATTTCCGTTGATAATTTCACTTAATAATTTATTTCGATTTGTTTTCATAAAATATTAAAACATAACTGACAATCACGAAAGTATCTTCAGTATAAGAATTCCATATCTTTAAAAATTCTTACAACTTCTTAAATTAGATTGACCTACATTATTGATAAATTAATAAAAGTTACGTCTTATTTTAGTTCCGCCGTTGATATCTCTGACAATAATGTCCCCGCGATCCTCGCGCCTCCAAACTATTTCTGGTTTTGGGTAACCTCGTGCTTTGCAGGTTAGTTTTGCAGAGCTGCCCTCTGGAACCATCATGTCGCCGGACGTTTCTTCGGATATAATATCTGGTGGAATGACTACTTCCAGGAAAGCACTCTGTCGATTAAAATTCAATTAAAAATAACTTCATTGACACTTATGCAGATGAAAAAAAGATAAAAGCGAGATTAATTGATAGAAGTTAAATTATTATTATTGTGTAATTGTATTGTCGAAAATCGGTATTTTTACCTTAGAACTTAGTTTAGACCTACTTTACTATTTTATAAATGGATATGTACTTGATATAAAAAAAATGATAAAAAGAAAAATACCTGGCTTTTCATAGGATCAGTATTAACTTGGCACATGTAGAGTCCACGATCCTCTTGCTTAGCATTCTTTATATGAAGAGTCCAAGTATTGTAGTCATTGTGGGTGACAGATAGACGGGCATTATTCGTGATAACGTGTTCGTGGATTGCCAGTATTGCTTTTGTGTCTGCCTTTATCCAAGCTACCTGTCCTCAATAAAATAATCTGTATTGTCGGATGTTAAATTTACTTGTCATTTTATGTCATTGATTGTGGGATTCGGTGCATACAGGTGTATACAAGATATCTAGGTCTAATTTTAGGAATAATTTACAATACTAAATTACTACAGTCAAAATACTTTTTTTACGAAGTCATAATAAAAAAATTAATTTGACTCAAACCAAAATGTTTTAAAACAATTGAAAATTATTTTAAAAAATTTAATTGATTATTATCAAGTAGAAACTTTTCTAAAACACGAAAATTTTCCGGGATTCAAGAAATTTTTTCCTTGATTCTAGTTAATCAAATTTCTAAAAACGATCTTCGATTAGTTAAAAATGTTATGTTGTGTTTTGGAGAGATTTTGTTTTTTCAAAATTGTCTCTTCAATGTCAATAAAAAGTTTCCAAAAAATCAAGATAAAATAGAATCAAGCCGACGATATTTTGACTATAGGATTCCAATAACGGTTACTTTAGACGGACTGTGTAGGTATATGTGCATCTAACATATATGTATAACACTATAAAATAAAATGAAGGAATGAAACGAAAGCAATTTCGATTTTTGTTATAAGAGATTAAACTTCTTTCTCCGTTGATCTCAATCTATTTAATATTATTTGTAAGTATAAGTGTACTTTACGTTTTATTATGTATGCTCAAACATCCGTTTTTCCCGTCGATTTTGCCTAGATTCATTCGAGCACATAACATTCTAAAAGACGGACTTACTACCATCCGGTCCCTTTTATCCTCTTGAGAGTATTTGTATATTGATATCATTTACTGTTTGTATGCAATACAAGTAAAGAAAAAATGGAAACCAGGTCTTCGGAATGTCTACCAGTCTAGCAAATAGCCATTGACTGGTGTATAGTACACACCATTTTATATTCATCTGTATCAGTACCTATACCTATACTATATACTTTTTTTATTTTAAGTATCATATTCTTTTTCCTTTGATCCCCATTCCATGCCGAGAGATTTCAAATTTAATGTCACACTCTTCAGAACTTTTTTGAAGCGCAAAAAAGCTCAATAATCTCTTTGACACGCACACTTGTAACTTACGCCCTTTTTATTTTCAACATTTTTTTATTAAATTTTTTTACTCTTTTTCCGAACACAGAGATAATAAAAAAAACGGTTAACCGTATTCTTGTAAGTGATAACAGGGAGGAGTAAAAAATTCAGTACCGTGATGGACAGAATTTTTTCTTAGTATTACTTTTTTCATATTTTATGCGGAAATTCGAAGCTCGAATGAGGCACAAGGAAAACTCCATGTCCTACATTGCACCAGACTTGAAAAGCTCCTCACCTCACATTAGATATATATAATGACATAGTTATACGCACACAGTTGGTTATTTAAATAACCACCCAGTCTTTCTTTTTCTCTCAACATTATATACTGCCGTGAGCGCTTTCATATGCAAAATAACCGTGCTCTATTGTGTGGTTCATTGTAGAAGCAGACGCCTTCGTCCAGTCTACCACCTCGTTTATTTCCCTTAACAACATACACGCCTTAATATATATTTTATATATATTTTTTTAAACTTATTTATTTATTCTCTTTTTTCGAGGGCTACTCTATAACATCCGCATTTTTTCCTCGTTTTCATGTTAAGATATTATTGCTTTTATTCTTCAGTAGTTCTTTTGTTTCTGGAAGATGAGGGGCCAGAGAGTGCGTATTCATGAATAAATTTACTAATTAAAACTTTTGTAATTTGTTATTGTATAGTTCAACGACAAACTCATTAGTGGTACCCAAATGAATCTTCTATTTTAAAGGCAAGGATGGATTTTGTTTAAAAATTTTTAGTCATGGTTTCTACACAGAAAAAAAATTAACTTGATTCAAGAGAAAAATTCTTGAACCAAGAATATAATTTTGAAGAGGGTAATTATCTTGAATCAAGACGAAAAATTCTTGAATTCCCTGATTAAAAAAAAGTATTGAACCTATGCAACTGTATATCTACTTGATTCAAGAGAAAAATTCTTGAACCAAGAATATAATTTTGAAGAGGGTAATTATCTTGAATCAAGACGAAAAATTCTTGAATTGTGTGTGAAAAGTATTGAATTACATACTTTTTCAATACTTTTTTTTAATCAGGGTTAAGAAAGTACGAACACCAAGGCAACTTTTGATAAAAGGCTTGATTTTTTTTTAATATGAAGTTTAAATATGTCTAAACAAATTCCGAAAATTTGAAGGAGATTGCCCGATCATTTAAATGAATAATTAACTTTAAAGTTGAGCAATTTAACATTGGTCTTATGGAGTAACCTTCAAACATTGATACATTTCTGTATTTTTCTCGTAAAACTGTCGGTGAATATTTTTAAAAAACTTATGGATGAAAGTAAATATATTAGTGATAAATTTAATTCCAAAACATTTACACTTGCCCGACTAATTAAAGTGTATTAATTAAAAGAAAAATAAATGCCGCCACTGGCCGATGTTAAATGTACATCTATATATTGAGAAAAATCATATGGTTACTGCGTTCCCCTTACCGCGCTAGAGTCGATACCTATCCCCACCTCGCCTGGCGCTCGTACTTCCTTAAGTAAAATTTCCTTAAATCAAGAATTTTTCTACTCAAACCAAGAATATTGAGCTCTTCAAAAATAAATAATTGATTCAAGAACATTTTTTTTTTCTGTGTAGATTAATAAAATTTTCGTGTATAAATCACTGCTTTTGGAATTAAATGCAGCTGGAAGTTCTATTATTATTCTCAGATCTTCACGTTTCGAGGTCCTAGGAAGCTATTCTGACTATTCCTACGAAAACGTCTCCCACGCGCGCGCGCGTGTGTGTGTGTGTGTGTGTGTGTGTGTGTGTGTGTGTGTGTGTGTGTGTGTGTGTGTGTGTGTGTGCGCGCGTCCGGAAGATATCGCAATTAAAAATTTTCAAAAAAGTATGTCCTCAAAAACCACTAGAATTTCGAGCTCCAAAAAGAATAAAAGTTGTGTTTTTGAGCTTGAAGAGCTCAATACCGGAATAGATCATTTCTCAAGCGTGTTGTACATAGTGGGAAGTTCCGGGATGACCTGCAGGGTCAACCGTTTTTCAGATTTTTTTTTAATAGTAACTTCAATAGTAATAAAAAAAAAAAACTAAAAAAAAATTTTTAACTTTCAAATAGTTTTTTTTCAAGGAAACAAAAAAAATATATGAAATGTATGAGCCCGTTGGCCAGCTCTAAAACTTTTCTATATTGAAAAACAAAAATTTGTTGTAGCAAAAACTAGGAATTACTGCGATTTATTATGATTTTTTATTGTAAAAAGATATTTTTTAATTCAACAAAAAAATAATAAATATTTTATTATTAAGAAAAAAATACATTCGACTAAAAACCGCGTCTAAACACTCTCGTGTACAACAATAATTATTGTTATCCAGAAAATGGAACCGGAATTCGCCAATATTCTCATCTGTAATACGCTGTTTGATTTGATTGAGAGCATACATACATTCTACAAAACTCTACATAAATTGTTTTCATTCAGTTAATGAACAATACATGTAACAAGAAAACGCACTTATAATGCGGGTGAATTAGTTTGAGGTATTAACAGGTTTCCGTCGCGTTTCACACAAATTTACATTATTATATTGCAATCACTTATACTATTTTCTTGAAAACAACATTTCAATTAACGGAATTGACGCAATGGATCAATCGATAAAAAAAAAAAAAAAAAAAAAAAAAAAGAACAGTGATCGCAAGTAACGAGAACGTTTAGTGAATTTAATTTGCAATCAATTAGTCTGGTCCTTTGACAATAGTCATTTATCAAATAATGCTCGGAAAAGTTTGTAACAATAACATGCGCATGCAATTTTGACTTAATAATTGGACTAGTTGTATAATAATCAATTGCATGCACTTCAACATGCCCTGAGGCTTTAATATACGAAAATAAATGTTTTAAACGTTAAATATTTTGCTATTATAAATTAGTATTTGTATTTTTTGGGATTTTATTTTAAAAATTCGTTTACATAACCCTCATTACTAATCAAATGAGTTTATTATAGTTATTGGTAATTAATAATTGTACCGATATTGATAAATACGAAACTTAATTAATTGTCCGGCATTATTCATCGTGAATTTATATTTCCATATATATCTATATATATGTATATATATATGAACTTTGGTACGAGATTCAATTAATTACTCATTTATATTGGTTATTATATGCAGCTTTATTGAGAGTAATCGTTGAATAAGTATATATATAAACTGTTCATTGATGAAAATTTTTAAATTGGAAACTGCTTCATATTTTAATGTTTTCTCATATCAAGATTTTTTTTACATTGTTTCACTCGAGTCTTCAAAAATCTTATCTTATTTTGCCTCAGATTTCCTTCAATGAATAAATTATTCACCACACCCCACATATTTTCCCGCTTCTCTCTAAAAAATGTGTATTCCAGTTCGAATCTGTATAATTTTTATGAAAAGCTAATAAATATAAATAAAATTTGAAAAGTTCCATGTGTGAGACAGTTGCGTGACGGTTTTCCCACCAGAATACTTAAAAAGGTTTCATCGGTGTCGTCATGACGAGGAAAACGTGTCTGCGACACATTGCGCTAAAAACTTTTTACAAACTATAGCCAGGTTGTTCGATGAAACTTTAAACTAAACCGTCTATACAAAACTGGGTGTATCAAGATTGTCGCATCACGTACTGGCCAACCAGAGCGAGGCATCAGAATCCTTTCATATATTTATGGATTCATGTTCGTATATATATTTATATATGTAATACTATTGCTATAATACATAGCTTAGATACATATAATGTAATGTAAGCGACCAGATGGGCTGCATTAATTCACGATAGCAATAAGCGTGTTTAATTCATTTATTTATCTTATAATCGCTCCACATATAGCATGATTAAACTCCATGCTTTCTATAAGATCCTATAACGAAGTTATAATTCCAAGATCATTAATATAAATTACATACATTGGGGTGTTTTATTTTAGAACATTTTTTTTTCTTATTCTAGTTTACGATCTGATTACTTATGCAGTAAATGATATGGTTAAATAACATAATAAAAAGTTACTTGGATTGTATTAATCCAATGACACGATCGTGTCTCGCACCAAACATTTTTAAATAAAAAACTATGTAAGTAAATTTTATCGGAAATGAATAAATGTTATCAATTATTTTTCATTTAGCATACAAATTTTTCATAGTCAACTCGGTACTTTTAATCGCTGATAACCTATTATGTAGAGCTCGAAAGTCCAATTTCATTCAAAATAAGCGTATCAATACATGTTAATTTGAAGCAGTTCAATTAACGTTGAAATTTTAATCAACAATCTTTCACAGCATTAAAATTTTACCGAAAAGTCTAATAAATAAATTTTGTAATTGCATTAGCTTATTAGCTGCAGAAGTTTGAAATTGATTTTGCAATAAAACTTTTATCTAAAACAATATCGTGTATTATGTTAAACTGAAAAATTTAAGTTGAAAAATCAATTAATACTTGTCTTTTAACATCTGATAGCTGAATTAATGCACGCAACATTAAATAGACTATTTATTTACCTCTTTTAATACTTTTATTTTTGAATTATCAGCGTGAAGCATCACAGGCGTGTGCAAATTACGCGTATGCTCTGTTTAATTGTGAATAACAAACTTGCGTGCATTGTGCTTTATTCGAAGGATGATATATTATGACGTGCTATATATATGTATTTAATATTTGGGAATATTTTAGTGGTCATTTATTAGTGTATCATTTATCATAGTGATTTACTATCAATTTACTTGAGTGATTATCATTTATTTATTAAATTATTTATTTATTTATTGAGGTGTGCATCGATGCAATGCTGGTGTGGAATGCAGGCACACGCATGTATGTACATAGTGCAGTCAGTAGACAACAAGTTCGATTGCAGGTGCATCGCAGGCACGGACTTTAGTCTCTTTTGTCATCCCACGTAAATGTTGGTAAGATTATAGTTACCCGGGTAGTCTTGCCGCCACTGTGATCTCCACTGGTGTAGGAAGAAGGACTCACCCTGTATCCGCCTAGGTTGTTCACTACACAAGTGAATGTTGCGTCTCGACCTTGCGGGATCGTTACATTTTCCAAAGGATACAGGAAGTCTGGTTCCAAGCCTCTTATTACTGTAACCAATTATAAATAGATAGACAGATAAATAGATAAAAAATTTTATTTGATCCTGAAGTTCTAAGCTCCTTCAGGACCATCAACAGTACATAAAGTTAATAATTTACGAGTACATTCAATACAGTGTTCGCAATATAATTTGAAAGATTGATATTAATTAATAGTGCTAAAACATTAACAGAAGATTAATAGTAATAACATTGATTGCGAGAAGAAGTTATAGCAAGCTTCTTGAAATTGTTCGAAGTTATCAATTACTGTAATGTCAGCCCGTAACAAATAATTTATACTTATAATACATTTTGCTTTGTTACATGATATTCCATAATTAAAATTAAACTTATAACTGCTAAAAATTTTGTTTAGTTCAGATAATATAAATTGTTGACAGAATATTAAAGTTATGAAATGTATTTTTTTTTAATTCATTCGATTTCAACGAAATAATTAAATTTTCTATTACCAAAAATAAATACATGATCATAGTTGAGTACATCTAAATTAAGAAATTGTCACTTTTCATTTATAGAAAAATAACTACTTACTATAATTTCAAAAATTTTTTCAAAAGTGGTTTTTTTGGAATTACTTTTAAACGGCTTTACTGATTAATTCCAAAAACTAATCAGCTCTTAACATCAAAAAACCACGTCGATCGGTGCTAGCCCGATCAAAATGGGTTGATTCGTTCGTGAGTTATCGTTGTCGAAAAAAAAAACAGAACAAAATGTTTTTTTTTGAAATTACATCGAAATTCCTACTTTGATCGATTAAAACTTAAATATTCTTTATGAGGCCTGAAAAACTACGTCGAATGCCACCAACCGCGTGAAAATCGGTTTATTCATTCAAAAGTTATTGCGGGTTCAAAATTTAAGAAATAGTGTTCTATCAAACGTTCACCAGATTTTTTAGCTCGAAGAGCTCAAAAACGTAGTAAGTGCAATTTTGAGCGCCTAAATATGAAATTAGCGGGAAATTGCAGGGATGGCCTTTAGGGTCCACCGTTATTCTAATTTTTAACTTCCCACTAAGAAAATCGAAGATTTTCAAAAAACGGGAAGTTATTATTTTCACTCCGTTGTACGAAAATCGAATTTTATCAGATCTCGACGTTTTAAGGTCTCAGGAAGCTTCTCTGACTATCCCCGCGATGGTGTTTGTATGTCTGTACGTATGTATGTATGTATGTGTGTGTGTGTGTGTGTGTGTGTGTGTGTGTGTATGGATGGATGGATGTAAACCACTCCTATCTTTTGAACGGTTTGACCGATTTGATTGCAATTGGTGCCATTCGAAAGGGCTTGACTGAACTTAGATGTTGAATACACTTTGGAACGATTCGGACTGGTAGATTTTGAGAAATCGCAAAAAAACTACAAAAAACAATTTTTTCAAAAGTGGTTTTTTTGGAATAACTTTTAAACAGCTCTACCGATCGATTCTAAAAACTAATCAGCTCTTAGCATCAAAAAACCACGTCAATTGCCACCAGTCCGGTCAAAATCGGTTTATTCGTTCGTGAGTTATCGTTGACGAAAGACAACCGAAAAAAGCGATTTTTCGGAATTACTTCGAATTTTTCCACTCTGTCAATATAAACTCAAAGATTTTTTATGAAGCTTAAAAAACTGCGTCGAATGCCACCAACTGCGTGAAAATCGGTTCATTCATTCAAAAGTTATTGCGATTTGAAAATTAAAAAAATAGTGCTTTATCAAACTTCTATCAAACTTTTGAGCTCGAAGAGCTCAAAAGCATACAAATGCTATTTTTTTGAGCTCGGGGAGCTCAAAATAATACACAAATTGTATTTATGAGCTCGAAAAGCTCTAAAACGTCATAAGTGCAATTTCAAGCGTTTAGGTATAGAATTGGCGGGAATTTGCAGGGATGGTCTTCAGGGTCAACCGTATTCCTAATTTTTTTTTTTTAAGAAATGTTTTTACTACTATTTAAGATAATGGGACTCTAAATAATAAATAATTGAAGCATTTTTTAGCGTTAGATTTTCTTCATGAAAAATTAAATATGTTTATCATTAAAAAAAATTTTTCTATGATTCAATTAAAGCACCAAGCTAGTTCTGAATTTATATTTGGTCCAATCTTAACTTCTCAAGGTTCAATTTGAAAATATCGAATCATTTGGCAGTCTCGAGCTAGACCTGGGATAACCTCTGGTGTCAGTGACTTCCCAAAACTATAGTTTAACTGATAGAAGTAATATTTGTAGGAGTAATTTGTATTTGTAAAAGAGAGTGATAAATGAACTTACTTGTTAACAATTTATTTCCCTATTTTTGTTGGGGAGAAATAAACATTTTTGAATTATTCATAATATTTATCAGTATTAAATTTATCATTTTTTAGTCGCATGGAAAATATTTTTGAATATTTTTTGAGCAGTTTTGAGGGTTTTATATATTTTTCAGCCACAAATAAATGATATTTAAAAATAATTTGTTAACGGTTAATAAATATATTTATTAAAAATTTTTTGTTAACAAGTCACTTATTAAATTCTTCTATCAGTGTTCGAAGCATTGGGCCAAGTATCGAATCGGGTTTAAGTCCGTAGTGATTTTTCAAGGCTTGGTTAAAATGTATCGAGACATTAGGCCAAGCATCAAATCAGACCAGGCCTCGGCCAGTGGTGACATCTCAAGGCTTGGTTCCAAAATATCGAATCATTGGGCTAAGATTGGACCAGGCTTGGTCCAGTGGTGCACCCCAAGGCTCGGCTTGAGAATGTCGAACCATTGGGCCAAGCCTCGGACCAGGCCTCGGCCAAAGCTGGACCATTTGTCAGCATTGGCAAACCTACCTAGGTTTTACTCTACCGATACAAGATACCGTTAAATAGGCATAGAGGTATATAGGAATTTTTTTTTCAATTGACGGAATTATGTCAAATTGTAATACTGTAATTGTTATGTTTAGTTATGTAAAAGTGTAATACTGTAAGAAAAAATATTTTTTTTAATTTGCACTTTTCTTTTATACTGACGAAAAATAATTATATCATTTAGGTATCAAAGTACTATTAAAATATTAAGATACTGAAAATTTAAAACTTTAATCTAAATTACTTGTGAGAAAAGTGAAAATAAATTAAAAATGGAAAACGATTTTTACTTTCCAATTGAGTGGAAAAATTTGTTTGAAATCTTAATAAGTCTTTTAGGTCGATAGAGAGTTTTCATAGACACCAGAGACCGATTTTCAGCTCAACAACTTTTTTTAAAAATACCTCTAAGAAAAAAGGTAAATGGGTCATTCCATGTCAAATCGGCCAATAGTTGGAATCGACCCCTTTCGATTTGAACGAATTTTGGTCAGAAGTTTTCTTTTATCATATAACGAAGTTCTGCCAAAGGAAAAAAAATAAAAAAATTTTTTTCAAAGGATATGCAAACTCAAAATTTCGCGTTTTTTCCAGTTTTTAAATTTTGTTTTTGTAATATCTCGAACGCTAGGGTAGATACAGGAATGATCTTTCGTTTGTTTGAAAGGGGACACTTGGAGCTATTGAAAAAAAATATTTTGGCAAAAAATTTTGAAAAATGCCAAATTTGTCAAATTTTGAATTTTTGAAAATCGTCAAAGTCAAAAAAAAATATTAGATAAATTTAGCCGCAAACAAATCTTTTTTTTATATCTTCAATTATTCACTTTTATCTACGAATAACATTACAGGCAGTATGAAAAGAATATTATGAACATTTCCGATACTTAACATTTGCGGTTATAGTCTTGAAATTATCCTATTATCTATTAACTTGACTTACATTGTCTTCAATAAATTGATTGTTTCATACTTATGAATCAGAATATAAATGAGAAATCATGTAGAAATCATACATGCATTCGAATATATAAGTAAATGATAAATATAATAACAAGAGACTGATTGACATGTGATAAAAGTGACTATCGATTGTCATTTTATAAATTCAAGTCATCAAATGTATCGACGTGGTTATCTTGTTATTCATCGTATCGGCAAGTAATGTACAAGAAACATTACTATACCATATTTAAGTTTACATTGGTAAGGCTATTGCCTCCACTCGGTAAAGGTCTGGTTCCATGACAAAGCTTCTGGAAAATAACCCATTGGTTGCCACTTCCCGTCTGGAGGCACACCTACGATTCATGCCTACGCAGCAATACGATTCGAGTCCCAATAAAATTGAAAAATTTTTCATTTATAATGAATTTTTACCTTCAACACATCATCATAACTAAATCACCCTCTGCTATAATAATTGTAAAAATAAAATAATGATAAATTTGTTGAAATTTATTGATTATCTATTCACAGAATTGAGAAAATAAAGAAAATTATGTCTCTGGTTTATTTATATGATACAATGAGTTTTTTTAGTTAAATTTATTATCATTCAAAATTTCTTGATCTGAATTTGTCCTTGAAATGTCCTTGAAATTGTACCTTTTTGCAGTTCTGTATGTTTTTCTAAGATAGCTAATTTATTGTTATAACTTTTCGGATTAGTTATAAATAGATTTAAATTTCGCGCTATATAACATTGATTTGTTTATTTATTTTTTGTATATATAAAAGCGATTATGTCACCTATTAATTCATACAATTAAGAGAATAAATGAAATTTTGTGACGGGCATAAATTTTTATTTTAAAAACGTTTTTTAGAGTTCAATTTGGTATCGTCAGAAAGGTCTTCACGCAAATTTGTGCCTTTCCTCGATTGTATCTATTTTTTGGTCCACGGAGAGAAATTTATAGGAATCTGTCCAACAATTTAATAAAATTATCATTATAGGCATTAATCTTATACTCATTATGGGAACCATACCCATAGTTTATTGGAAACGTTCCTATACAATAATGGAATAGCTTCAATTATATTATGGGAATGGTTCCTATAATATTATGGGAATGATGCACATAATAATAGATAAAAGTTTATTTTCTTAATAATGAAGCAATTCACTTTAAAAATATCAAGTAATTATTATGTATTTTTTTGCTAATAAATTTTTTTTTTTGTAAATAAAAATTGATCTTTCATTAGAGTGACGAAATTTCTTTTTCATAATTTTTATTCACGTTTGTACTTAATCTTGAATTATTTATTCCAGCTCAGTTATTATTGTGTTAAATAATATTGAAAAATATTGTAACGATTTCAAAGTTTCTCTAATAAGAGGGATATTTTCTCACTATACAATTGTAGGAGCAAAATAGATATGGAAATTCATTGTTTATTTTCACAATTTCATTTTATTTTTAAAGCAAATTATTTATTTACAATACATACGTTGAGCCGCGAAAGCATTTGAAAATTTGGAATTTCAAAACAGTTGGAAATTTTATTTTATTTAAGAAATTTTTTTTTAATTAACCTTTTTTTTTTTTAATTAATTTTATTTTAATTTACAAGCATGTATACCATTTAAGATTAAAAAAATATCAACTGCTGCAATTGATTAATTTCATAATGATAATAATGATAAATATTATTACTGATAACTTTTTTATAAATTTATATATTATAAAAAAGAATCACTTAATCAAAAAAAATATAAATCTAGTGAAAAGTAATTAATTCAATACCACAGTTGTGTGAAAAAAAATTGCTCCAATATTATTGGCATCATTCCTATAATATTATGGGAATGATTCCCATAATATTGTAGGAATGGTTCATATAATGTTATGGAAACTATTCCTATATATTATGGGAACCATTCCTATATATTATGGGAATCATGCCGATATTACAGTTATAATTATAGGTATCGTTCCTATAATTATAGGAACCATTCGCATAATTATAGTAATGCTTCCCAAAAATTATGGGTATAATTCCCATAATTTAAGTAATCGCTCCTAAAATGGTATAGGAAAATATTTCATTAAAATTATAGGAATGATTTCCACATTTTTCTCTCCGTGTAGAGACGTTGAAATACACCCCTAAAAAACAAATGATAATATTTAATGTCGACAAAAATATCTGTGTTTTAAAGGCTGTAACTTTTACCGGAAATCACAGTCTGTAAAAATTAAAATGAGTTATTTCATTTCGAAGCATCAGGTTTCTGCTTTAAAAAGTTTTATTATTCGTTATATCATTTATATTAAGACCGTACATCATTCCATTGACAAAAAATTTATTTGAAATTTAATAACATTTTTATTTTATGGATAAAAAAATAAACGATATTTTTAATATGAATTCATTTTTTAAATAACAAATAAATTTTTCTCAGAGTTCTATCTCAATATTTTGAACTGTATGTTTCAACTCGAAATTATTTACCCAATAATATTTTGAACTTTTCCCGTGCTTTATTTGAATTTAGTGCGTTTCATTGACAATTTGCGTGCGGTTATCGTGATTTACTTCGCGGAATTAATCCTTTGACATTCATAAAAATTATGTGACATCGGTCGATTGACTAAACAACTATTAACCGACCGAAACAATGTACAAGTTGGTACTTATTTTGCATGAGTAATAAACAAATATTTATAATATTTCATATATTCTGTTAACAAGATTTACTGCCCAATATAAAATCAAATTAATTTAAGTCTACTGTATAGTTGAAAATTTATATTCTAAGTTAGTATAAAATTTCATAAAATTAAAATTTTTTCCTGCTTCAAAATTGAAACTTAAAAAAATTCCAGTGAAAGCCAAAAAGTTAGTAATTTTTCGTCAGCTCATGCAATTTATGAACTTTAATTTTTGCACGGTATTAAAAATGAGTTACGATAATTCTCCAGTAATTATCAACGTAGAGGAATTAAAAGAACAATAAATTTAAGTTAAGGTTACAAGCCACAAGATAAAACCATAAAAATACAGTCAGAAAAATTAATTTCCAATTAAAACAAAAAAAAAAGATGGTTAAAAAAATTGGATAATTTATTTTTATTAAAATTTAACCCTTACGTCGGTGTAATAACGCGGGAATAATTAACAGCCGTGAAAAAATTTATTGTATTTCGGGACTGATTTTCATTGGTTCTCGGATGACACGCAATGACTCTCCAGAGACCGGTGGCGATATAACGTCGGTAGATCTCGCGCTAGCTATCTATCGAGTGTAGTATTGCAAAATAAAAAAAATACCATCCCGTCACCGTGTGTTTGTGGCTTGGTAGTGGCTCTGCTCGGTAAACGTCCTTAGAGAGTAATAGTTCTCGGTCAAAGGTCGGTTGTCTTGGTGTAGAGCGCATCGTATTAGCGGGCGAATGCGACGGATGTTCATTAAAATTACCCGTATGTCCGTTTCCGTTTCCTGGATCTAGCTCGGTTCATTTTGTTAAAGTGTGGGTGGTCATAGAAATAGGAGCAATATACCTGGATCACTACCACCAGGAGTCAACGTCACATCATTGGGGGTAGAACAGAGGGAGAGAGAAGGAGAAAGAGAAAGAGAGTGAAGAGACGAAAATAACTGATGGAATAGATATAGAAGGAAAGAAGGAAGGAGAGAGGCTAGTCCACCGGGGAATCAGACCCGACAGACAGAATTTCCACGGCAAACAAACTCCCACTGAGCCCTGCGGTAACTGTTAGTATAACATTCTCTATAGGTATACTTTGCTACCATCTCTTTCTCTCTCTTTATTTATCTACACACATACACACACGTACAAAAACTGGATTGGGACAATGAAATAGAGCCGAGAGCTTTTCGTAACCATGTTCAATTGTTCTCTGTGTTATTCGTAAATAAACATGGACGGGATGGTAAAAAATAAAACTGGAACGGAAAAATAAGCTAAAAGATATGAGGGTCGTCTTGAAGATCAAGTGCGTCCGCATCAGGAAATTTTATTACCTAGAGCAATATTCAAGTTAATGTTAACATTTGCTTGGGATGTGTATTAGGAAAATCGTTTGCGAGTCGCCTTTTTTTTTTTTTTTATTTTATGGTCACATCACTTTGTTTTACTCCGGTGATGGAATCCCTGAAGAATCACTCGAGCTTCATTTTTTCATCTCAAATATATTTGGGTGATTCTCTGTAAGGATGTTTTTTGCTGTTCCGGGCATTTTTTTATTAGAAAAATTGTTATTTTTTAACTAAAAAAAATTTATTACGAAAGTAAAAAAACATTTCTATTTGGAGCATTGAAAACTAAAATGGAATAAATTTTAGTTTTTTTGCTATAAATTCGTAAACCACCGAAATGTCAGTCCCCTGGGCTGTCCCAGTCCCAAAATTAAAACTTTAAGATTAAATTTTAAGTTATTCGTCAATAATAAATAATTTGGTCCATAATGTTTATGAACTTAATTAGTTAACTAACAATCTTCTTCAATAAAAAGTACCGAAAGTTAATTTGTTTCATTAAATTCATTAAATCAAAGCTTGTCCCAGGCATTTGAGATCAGTCCCCTGTCAGAAGTTCAAAGCCGAAAAAAAAAAATCTAGCGTGTTATTTTACCTTTTGTAAAGTTTATGAGGATCTAACTAGCCTCAAGTTAATAACCATAGGGCTGTTAGTGCTTTATCGGCATTTTATTTAGTATCAAATCACCGTTTGTGCTGGAAATATGTGTCTGGGCCACTTAAAAACTCAGTCCCCTGGCAGCTATTTTTGTTCATAATTTATTTATGAAATTGGATCCATAAGTCTTAATATTATTCTAATTAATGTAAACATTCATTGAGAACTTTAAAAAGTTGAATGCATTGAAATAGTTTGCTTGATTTTTCTCAATTTGATAAAAAAAATCAGTCCCCTGGCAGTCAGTCCTCTGTCATGTTATATGGTAAAAGATACACAAATATCGAAAAATCAAAAATTAATTCGGCTGTTTATTTATTATAATTAAGCTGATAGTTTTGTAGCCGTTGTTAATTTTTTTTCTAATAAAATCAAAAATAATTTGGTCGGACAATTTTGTACAGATTTAAGACGTCCTTACAGAGAATCACCCATTTATGCTTATATGTTACGAAAGTTTATTTCAAATATTTCATTTTGGTATTTATAATTTTTTTATTTTAGAAAAATAATATTTTTGGTAAAATAACAAGGCATTATGTGGTTATAATGTAAAAAAAAAAATTGAATCGATTCAAGAAAAAAATTCTTGAATAAAGTAAAATTTGATCAAACTAGAAAAAATTTCTTAGTTCAAGAATTCTTCTTGCTAAATTAAAAGATGATTTAATTTTTTGTAATAATTTTCTTGGTTCAAAATTATTTTCAATGAACATTATTGGAAAAAGTATATTAAAAATATTAATATAAATAATAAAATTTCTTGAAGTATGACAAACAATATTATTTTAAGATATTTTTAAGTATGAATCTATTTATTTAACATTAAAGTATTTACATGAATGAATATCTTAGTCTTTATGTCGTAGTTTTTTCTATGTATTGTTTACAGAAGTATTTTTCCGAGAGCTAGCAGAAATGGGGATGCTGAAAGTTGTGGTAATGTTAGTGGTGAAGGCGGAGGCAAAGGTTAAGCTATAGTTGGTGAGCCCTGGGAGGAAGTAATAATGGTGATTGTTTCGAGAAGTCGTCTAAGATGTTCTTTCTACTACACCGAATAATGCTTGAGAGAGCACAAAGCTCTCGGTTCCTATTTTTAACATTTACTGGTATAAATGTTGCAGCTAGATTATTTACTAAGTTGTAATTCTGAAAAAAATATCTGAGCAAATGACAGATTTAAAAATATTTTACATGATATTCTTTAAATCAAATAATAACTAATATATTATAAACATTCAGATTAAATTTTAATAATTTCCGATTTTAGTTTTAGAGAGGAATAATGTCAAAGTTAGATTATAAACATATTAAAAAATGTAATTTAATAATGTCATTTAATAGAAATTAATGTTTTTAATTTCTGGAATAAAGTTCGAAAATATTTCTGCTATTTTGCCATGAAGAAGTCAGCTAAAAACGGATTGAACGAAATTCCTTCCCCAATTGCGAGGGAATTAATAATAAAAATTAAAAATTCCCGTTCTTAAACTATAGCTTCTATAGGCTCCAAATTTTATAGCAATCTATTATATGTGATGTAAGAACGATCTGAAAGCAAATTTTATGACAACCTATCCCCAATAAAGATTGCAGAGATGGGTGTTAACAATTAAAATTTTTAAGTTGCAAGATGTAGCTCTTATAGGCTCCAAATTTGGTAGGAATCTTTTATATGTGATATAGAAATAATCTAAGAGCAGATTTTATGACAACCCACCCCCAATACAAATTACGGGGGTGTGTGTTCACGATAAAAAATCTCAATTTCCAAAATATAGCTTCTACAGGCCCTAAATATAGTAGGAATCTCTGATTTGTCCTATAGAGATCATCTCAAAACGGATTTCAATAAATTCTACCCCCTATAGGGATTGCGGGGGTGGGTGTTAGAATGTCAAATTTCTATTTCCAAACTGTAATTTCTACTGACTCCAAATTTGGTAAGAATCTTCGTGTATGATGTCAAGTTCAGCTAAGAGTGGATTTTATCAAATTCCAACCCCAAAAGGGATTACGGAGGCTTTAACAATGAAAAACTCTCATTTTCAAACAATAGTTTCTATGGACTCGAAGTTGTGTAGGAATCTTTTATTTATGATGCAGAAATCATCTCGAATAGGATCTTACGAAATTCCTCCTCCATATAGGAATGCGAAGGTGTCAATTATCAAAAAATTCATATTCTTCAAATACGGTTCCTACAGATAAAAAATTTGATAGAATCTCAAAAGAAACAGAAAATTCCAGGCATGGCCTCCAGGTTCAACTGGTTTAAATATTTTTCTTTTTTAATAATTAGATGTCAGCTAAAAACGAATTTCGCGATAATTGACTTCATATGCAGGTTGTGGTTCAGAGTGGTGAGTAGAATTAAAAAAAATATTTTTGTTTATATCCCGGGTCAAAAAATTTAAACTGATTTTAAGCTAAATGATCTGCATTTGAACTTATTGACCTGTATTTGAACTTTTAAAAACATTTTCATCTGTATTTGATCTACTATTCAAATTATTTTTGATCGGTTTTAAGTCTAAATAACTTTTTAGTAAAATAATTGAGCAGCTATGAATATTTTATACTGTTTCTAATCTAATGAGACTAATAGTATATTACACTACAAGGGCAGAAAGTTTGAGATTCCTGCACTGCGCGCCATA